CTTGGAAACCCTATGGGGCACTTCTACTCTGTCCTATAGGGTCGCTGTGAGTCAGAATCCACTCAGTGGCAGTGGGTTTATCTTCCTGGATGATTCCATTCCAAAGAAATGGCCCCAAGTCCTTGAGAAAACATTCCTGGGTTGTAAAACTGGCTAGCGCTCGTTTACCTTCTAAAAAGATTTACATACGTCTCAGGGGGCAGAGAAAATTCACAAGTTTCCTAAAGTAAATCCTCTAAGAAAAGGGAGGGGAGAGTTTCTCCCTTTTTGTACCAAGGAGTTTTGTTTTGTTTTGTTTTGTTTTAATAGTTGCCCTTACAAAGGCATTTTGGTTGTTTCCAATAGTTTCCTCTGAGAAAGGATGTTCGAGTGGATACTGAGCAAAATGACAACCTGTGCTGACGTGGGCAGATACTCCAAGATTAATTACACACACACACACACACACACAGAAAGTAGATGCAGAAGAGAATGTACAGTATGGTGCTGTCCATGCTAATATATTCTATCAGGGGCTAGGTGACAGGGTGAGCAAGCCAAACCCATTGCTGTGGAGTTGATTCCAACTCATGCAACCTCATGTATTACACATAGAGCTGAGCTCCATAGGGTTTTCTTGACTGTAATCTTTATGGAAGCAGACTGCCAGGCCTTTCTTCAGGTGGCACCACTGGGTGGGCTCAAACTGCCAACCTTTCGGTTAGTAGCCAAGAGCAAACTGCACCACCCAGGGACCAGGGGTATTTGGAAAAGGCACCTTCATTTGACCATCTTCTCTATGGTTTTGCTTTCACCCACCGTCCTTGGAAATCTTTATAGCATCGCCAATCTTTAAGTTAATGTGACAGAGAAATAAACTTCTATGTTGTTTATGCTTCTATAACTTTGGGTCATTTTCTTATGGCAGCAAAATTCTCATATTGATATATGTGTGTTTCTCTACAGTCTGTGTGTAAATCAAATCCCATGTACAAGAGCACTTCGCTGTATACATATATACATACACACACTCACACAGAAAGGTGACCGCAAAGATACATACCAAAGTGTTAGCCTGTGTGATGGTTGATGGTATGTGGCAGCTTAGCTAGGCTATGATTCTCAGTGGTTTGGCAGACATTGGACTGATTGCTCTTCCACAATGTAATATAATGTAATGACTTCCATGGTGAGATCTGATATAATGTAATCACTGCCATGATGAGATCTGCTATGAGCAGCCAATCAGTTTAAAAGGGAGTTTCCTTGGGGGTGTGGCCTACCTCCAGTATATAAATGGATGTTCCGGCTCATGCTCGCTCTGGATCCTCCATCCTCTCATCATTCTCTCACCTTTGGTTCTTGGGATGTGAGCCAGCACCCTTCACCTGACCTGCTGATTTTGGGTTCATCAGCCCATGCAACCATATGAGTCAAGAGAAGCCTCCAGCCTGACGCCTGACCCACAGATGTGGGACTTGCCAGCCTCCACAACTGCATGAGCCATTTCCTTGAGATAAATCTCTCTGTATATATATTTATATATATAGAACCCAGTCTAAGACAGCCTAATTAATTCTGGAGGGGAGATTTCAGGTAATTTTCTTTTTTTAAAACTTGACACTTTGCTGTGCTCTTTGAAGTTTCT